TCGAGCCAACAGGAACAGCGAAAGCTTGAAAAAGTACATTGCCTTGGCAGAGAACTCTTGACGCCACTTCCGAGCTGACTGGAACAAAAACGAAGGCGAATGAGCGGTGACGCGAAGAAGCACCGAATATTTTAAAAATCTTCTTCACGCGAAGCTTAAAGCTAAGTTGGAGCGGGATCCGAAGAGCCGCGAAGTCATACGGACGGTGAAGATTTATTGTAATTTAAAAAATTAAACGGTTTAAATTTTTATTGGGCATAAACGCTGGTTATAATTAAATGAAAAGATCGACGTTTAGAATTTTTAAAATTAATTTAGAATTAGGTCTACATAAATAGCATTAAATTATGTAATTATTATTTTTGTGAATTATTAATTATTTATAATATAATGGATGGCCAAGATAATTTAAGAAGAAATAAAATGAATGGCTCAGATTTGCCGGAGGAAGGAAACTCAAACCCCTTTTATAATAGTAGTATAGATATTACACACATTCTTGTGTTACCCGACAAGCAAAACATGATATCAGAAGAGATAATTGATTTTGCGTCCACTCATTCATTTGTCATCTTTCTCTTTATTCTTACTAAAATAAAAAAACATCTATCTTTTTTTTTTGATATATCATCAAAAAATTATCTTGTTCGGGCACGAATGTCGACGAAAAATCAAGTTGAAAACTTCAAAAATTAAATTGGAGATCATCTGAACTCTGATTTCAGTAAACTTATAGTCGAATTGAACGTCTCATATAAACGAGCCCAATGACACCAAATTTGACCTAATCCGAGTTTTAATCAGTCCAAATCAAAGACCCGAAACACATTTGGAAGGTTCAACCCATAAGTTTGGATTACGAAACAGTCTCTAAACGTGACATGCTTATAGTCGAATCGAGCGACTCGACGAGAGAAATCCAATGAGCACAAGATCGCTAAATTCTGATATCATTAAGACATTCAAATGTCCAATAAACAATCCATGATCAATGGAATCAGCATCAGTCGTCCATTCAAACCACTCCAAATTTACCCATGATCTTCCTCCTATTTACTAGTCATGCCACTCTTAAAAAACTATAAATATACCCCTCATTTCTCATTAAAGGGGAAGCAAGTGGAGGAAGGGAGCCCAAGCATGAAGAGAAGGAAGAGAATGAAAAAATCTCTTGCCACCAAACTCCTCCTTGACCACCACCAGGCCACCGACCAATGCCAGACTTCCGCCCGTCGTTAGATTTCTACCGGACGACAGATTTTCGCCCATCAGCAGACACAAGATTTTCGCCTGTCGTTGGACCCCTTCCCGATGCCGGATTTATACCCAACATTGGACTTCTGCGAGTCGTTAGACATTCGTCAAACTTCTACCTGACGCCAGACTTCCGCGAGTCCCCAGAATTTTATCGAACTTTACCTGATGCCAAACTTCCGATATCGTTGGATTTCTACTTGACGGTTGACTTCTGTCCATCACCGGATTTCTACACGTCACCAGACTTTTGTCGAACTTTCTACCCGACATCAGACATTAGCCCGTTATCAAATTTATATCTAACACCAGACATCTGTCCATCGCCAGACTTCCACCTATCACCGAACTTTTATCGGACTTCTACCTGATGTCGGACTTCCATCTGTCGCTAGATAATGGTCGTTTGGCCACAATCACACCTTGATTACAATCTTTCTGACCACTATCGCCCGTCGACTACAGTCCTTCCGACCTCCATGATCAAATTGTGGTCTTTCCAACCTCCGTCGCCGGACTAAGGTCTTTTTTTACCACTATAGCCCGCTGATTACGGTCCCTCAGACCACTGTCACTAGACTATAGTCTTTTCGACCTCCGTCGCCCGCCGACTATGATTTTGCCAACCAAAAAAACATATCAATAGTTATTCTTTCAAGTCACATCATGTAATACACTTTATATGATGTATATTTTTTACATAAAGCCAAGGCCTTCCCCCAAGAAGGGCCTCATTTGTAATCGACTGCAAATAATAGTATATTCATTCAAATTGGGCCAAACCCCATGGTTTTTTCCCTTTTTAGAATTTTTCACATAAAAATATTGGCGTCACTTATGAATATTATACTTTCTCTTTCATTTCTTTGTGTGTTATGTCTTTGTACAATGCTAAGAAGTTAAACTTTATATTTCTCTACCGTTGTGAATATTCTAGGGCAAAACATTTATGAATAATAATATTAATACGTTATCAAAAATTATCTTGATCGTACATGATTCTTCAGGCACGTCTGATTTAGAATCTTTCAAAATTATAATATGGGCCATTCAAACTTCAATTTCTGCAAACTTATAATCGAATTAAGTGTCATGGTGAGACGAACTCCAGACACAAAAGATGGTCCCATCAGAGCTCAAATGAGCTTAATTGAAGGGCCTCAAGCCTAGTTGAAATCCTTAAAATATTAATTGAATGAACAAACGATTTCAAAATTTATCATGCTTATAATCAAATCGAGCAGCTCGACGAGAAGAATCCAGTGAGCTCGGGGTTGCTTAATTTTGACATTTTAAGGCATATAAATGCTAAAATAATTATCTATAATTGGAGGAATTAATATGGGCCGTCCGATGGAGTGCTCTAGATTTTCGTTAAATTTTTCCCATATTTTTGGGGCTAGCAACTCATGAAATTCAATAAATAAGCCTCCTCTCACTATATGAGAGGGATTATAGCTGTCAATTTTTGACACGACCAGAAACACGACCCGAACCCGACCCGGAAAATTTCGGGTTTGGGTCGACCCGGTTATCAAACGGGTCGGGTTCGGGTTAGAATATCTGACACGATTTGAGTTCCGGGTCGGGTTCGGGTTGACCCGGAATTGACCCGGAAATGCTTCTGCCCATTTTTGCTGCCCGCCCTGCCCGCGAAATGTCCAGCGCGTGCCGCGTATGCTTCCAGCCGTCCACACCGTCTAGTCTCGTCGACTCCGTATGCCCGCAAAATGACCCGCGGTCCGCACGTCCAGTCGACTCCGTATGCCCGCGAAATGACCCGCGGTCCGCGCGTCCAGTCGCGTCGACTCCGTCGAGTCGCCAGTTCGCCTCCTCGAGGCTGTCGCCGTTCGCGTCCGCTGCGCTGTTGCTGCTGCACCTACGGTCCGCCGGGCTATTGCTGTCGCACCGCCGCCGCTGCTGTTGTCTCACCGTCGCCGCTGCTGTTGCCAGTCTTTGTCTCGCCGCCGTCGCTTCAGCCAAACACGCAAATCCGTGTCGGTTCGGGTTTCACCGCCAAACTTGGTCGATCACTCGATGTCTCCTGTCCTCTGCCAAGCAGTCACAGTTGAACTTCTTAGGGGTGTCAATATTTGACAAGACTTGAAAACCCGACCCAAAAATTTTGGGTTATGGTCAACCAGTTTGATAAATGGGTCAGGTTTGGGTTTAAAATCCTAACTTGATTACAAATTTAGGTCAGGTTTGGGTCAACTTGAAAACCAGACTTCAACCCAAAATCAATCCATTCCTTCGAGGCTTTGACGCCACCTTATGTCCTTCGACGTTGTTCCAATCTCCTTCTATCAGGTCAGAAGCCACGATAGCTCATAGCCTTATCTTCTTCAACGTCGTTCCTGTTGTCGAGTCGAAAGCCACGATAGCTCATTGCCTCATCTCCTTCGACATTGTTCCTTCTGTCGGATCGGAAGTTATGAGTCACAATAGGCTGTTTTAACGCCATCTTCTGTCAGGTCGGAAGTCACGAGTCTAGCCTCCTTCGAGGCTTCGATGAATTGAAGTCGCCTTCTGTCAATTCGCAAGTCATGATAGCATATACCTCACCTTCTTCGATGATGTTCCTTCTGTCGAGTTTTAGTCACCATAGCTCGCCATTCATAACGACGACGATGGGAGGATCTTTGGATCGAAAGTAACGACGATGACAGGAGGGATTGTTGAATCGGTAATCAGAAGTCGTAACAGCTCATGTCATTTGGTGGATCGGAAGTAACGAGGGAGCTCTCTTGTTGCGAAGGTAAGGGCTCCCATGGTTTTGCTCGTTGTGAAGGTAACCTTTTGTTGTAGTGGTTACATGTCGAGTTTGGTCAACCAAAAAATCTAACAAGTTGGGTCTGGGTTGAAATTTTTAACCCGTTTGCTAAAACGGTCATGTTTGGATTGAGTCAAACAGTAGCGATTTATAATCAGGTTCGACTCGAACCCGACTCACAACTGGATTTTGACAACCTTAGGACTTCCATTGGTCAACTGCCGCTGAACCTTTGCGCCACAGTCATCACTGCTGGCACTTCGCTAGCATACCTCTAATGTTGGTTCTCTATCGATTGATTGCCTAAGTTGGACCTTCCACCAACTGATCACCACCGGTCCCGCAAAACCTTCTACCAATTACTCGCCATCATTGAATCATCATGATGTCTTATCGAACTTTACCACTATATCCGTCTACTCCTCGAACTCTTGTAATTTCACTTTGCCCAAAATAAGGGATGGCCCGATATTTGATAATTCACGCATATATTGTGAAATCATTTCAACTGGGCAAGATTATGTGGCTTTCCACATTCCGGATTTTCTATATAAAAAAATATCTATATTTTTATTTGTTTGCATGTTGAATCATCGTGTCTAATTAGGACTCGAATCTCTCTCTCTACCGTCATGAATTTTCTAATTTATTGTAAGTAAAAATTGTACTCGATTTGATCCATGTTTATGGATATGGATTGTGCTCCAATTGGGGTGGGGCCAGATGAAATTACAACCATGAGAGTTGTATAGGGACCCCATCTTATCCTTATGGCTGGTATTCTTCAATTTCCCCCCTCTATTCCTTAGAATTTCAACTCAACTACAAATCCATCATTTTTTTCATACTTCTAACCCGCAATAGATTAATGCAATAATCAAGAAGCTCTGAAATCAAATTTATGCAATTCTTAAAAAAATTCAAGCAAAATAGAACTTTGAACGGTGTTCAACAGTAAAGCAATGTATCATTTCTATTACAAATTTCTTCTCATTCAAAAAAAAAATATTTTTTTGAAGGCAAACATGAAAATTTTCTCAAATTTTCCGTTTAATGTACCCTTGAAATAATTCATCAGATATCTAATTTTCTGTGTTCATCTTCTTCTTCCCCATCCAATGGCTCTGAATCTCTGCCCTCATCCTCTCCAAGTTCTCTCTGTTACCCCAGAGAGAAGCCAAATGGGAATTCTTAGAAAGAACTCACCTTTACTCATTTCATTACAAAATCTCGGAGGGCAAAGCTCTCCCCTGCTTCAAAGCTACAGTAATGGAGGAAGCGCTTTTGTCTCTCGTGCAGTCAAAGAAAAGCAGACACAAACTTATGGATCGGCCGAAACCGAGATATCCGAAACCAATCCTTCCTCTTCAAAGCTTGTTCTTGTTGTTGGAGGAACTGGTGGTGTGGGTTAGTGTCTCTTCTGCTTCTCAGATTCAGTTTTATGTATGTTATATTTTGAAAATTTGTGCAGATTTTTCTGATAAGAATATGTTACTGACTGTATTGCTGGACTGTTTCTTAAATAGTTATTCAGTAAAGTTTGGGTTAGATTGGGAGAAAACTCTAAGCTCTGTGGCAATTGATTTGAGGGTTCCTTTCTCCATTCTTTTCACTCAGATTCACATCAACCAAACTTAGCATTTAAATTCGATTCATATTTCAAAAGACAGTTGATGTAAGAAGATATAGAGGGACAAGGATGCATTAGGTGGAAGCCCCTTGATAGATTAATTAGGGGCTGTTTGGTAGCAGGATTTAGGTCAGATTTGAGCAAAATCTAGCCAAACAGCCTAAAATGCAAAACCAAATCTCACGGCAAAAATTCCACCTTTTCGTGCTAAATCATGGATTTTTTAAATCTCCTTTTTTGCGGGATTTACAAAATTCATTGGCTCGAGAGGAAGAGTCAGCTCGTTGAATCCGCTCTACAGCCAAACACTCACACAAGATTTAATAAGATTTATTATGAATGTTACCAAATAGTTTTCAGGATTTAGGCTCCTTAGGGTTTCCGAAATCTAGATTTAGAGGATTATCGAATCCCTACTTAAATCAAATCCTGGGTGCTACGAAACAACCCTTAGGCAATTCTTAGGGGTCGCAACTGGCCCCATTCCTCATGTACAACCAGCACTGGTGGTGAGCTCCAGTGACTGCCCAACCAGGCTACCTATGGCTGACCAAGATCTTCATTGAACTTCTACCATCAAAAGGAGTCTAGATCTGTCTTTGATTTGTGATGAGGTCTTTTGGACTTGTGCAGTTCTTAAGGGGAAATATGAATATTTAAAATTTCTAGAATCCATTGCCCTCTGCAAGGAATGAAACTAAGAGCCATTTGTGGTGTTGAGTAGCTCTTAGAAAGACGAACATTTCAGGCACCATTTTTCATTGAATCATAATTTCGACCAAAAATTTCGCATAATAACTATGACTTGGCCTCTTAGGCTTCGTTTGGGACGACTGTTTCTTAAAGTAGCTTTTTTTAAAAAGCAGTAAGAAAGTCGTCCCAAACGAAGCCTATGAATCATCTCTATTTTTTGCATTGGGTTGCTCTCATCGATGCAAATAAATTCAAACTAAGATCTTTATCTGCATCTATATTTTTTGAAATGATAAAATCGAATACTACATTTTCTATGCAATACTCCAAATAACATTCTTGGTTATCTCAAATCTCTCCTTGGAATATCTATTAATTTCGACACCTAGCATTCATTATCACCCATCATAAACCGACGCTAACACTGAGGCTTCATTTAGGACGACTTTCTTACTGCCCCTTAAAGCAGTTTTTCAGTACAAAATTAAAATTTTTGTACTGAAAGGTACTTTAAGAATCAATAAAAAAGCAATTACAAACGAAGCCTGAATGTCTTTTGTGGCTCAACATTCGCCATCTCTCATCATATAGTACCCGTTGTCGATTGGCGTCAATGCCCGCTAACATCCATCATCTTGCTAACATCAATAATAGCTCATTGGCTACAATCCTTTTTTTCTTTTTTTTCAGGGCAGCTCATAGTGGCATCATTGCTAAAGAGAAATATCAAAGCAAGATTATTGTTAAGGGATCCTGCAAAAGCAAAATCCTTATTTGGCCTCCAAGATGAGAATTCTTTGAAGGTGCATATTAAATTTATGAAAAATGATATTTTTATTTATTCACCAAAATTGAATGTGGCCAGTGGCATAACTGTAATTTTCAGTAAAATAATGGGTACTTAATCATTGAATCACAATTCAGTTGTGTCTCAACAAAATTACACTGATTTTGCTTGATTTCTGTCTTCTCTCTGTTTGGTTTGATTAAACATTTAGATATTTTTATCCCTTTCTTCAACATTTTAAAATTTCTTATAGAAAACTAGAATAAAAAAATATGTTTCAGGAAATACTTATATAATAATTATTATGAAAGACTAATACCTTCTTTTATATGAAAAATAAATTGCAATTGAATATTATAACCAACATTTTACTGTAAATATAATATAAATTAAAAAAAAAAAGCTTTTTCTACTATGATTATCATAAAAAAAAAAAAAAAAATCGACTACCTAATAGAGTTAGAGATTAATGAATGAGTACTATTTTATTCACTTATATTAAGAAAGAAATATTTGATTATATTGATAATAAAGTAATCATATCAACTCTTTCAGAATATAAAAAGCAGGTATAGCAAATTATAAATTTGTATCATCTTATATTTTATTTTTATAAAACAACAAATTTAAACAATTTTTTCTTACAACTATCAAAATCATTCTCAAGTCCGGATAAGAAAAAAAAAAGTAAAGAGGATATTTACAAATTTAAATTCTTGTCCAAATAGAAAAAATTTCAGACTCTGCCACTGATACATTTGTATATGTTGGTAATTGCTAGATATGGAAGGGAGATACAAGGAATCCTGATGACTTAGATTCAGCCATTTTTGAGGTTTGTCCCTAAAATTCTCATTGAAGGAGAAATTATTCTGTGCGGATGCGGAACGTCATCCGAAAACCAACCAGAATGCGCCACGTCACCCTTTCGCTCGGTACTGCTGACATGGTTGCATCTAATTCGTCTCAGCTGCATCCGGGGTCCGCACAGAATAATTTCTCCACTGAAAGATTATATAGATACAATTAAATTTATAACCTATCTATTGAACCAAACTATAGGACTTGTTTCTTAGGGAGTGACGCATGTAATTTGCTGCACGGGCACTACAGCATTTCCTTCCAGGCGATGGAATGGAGAAAATACACCTGAAAGAGTAGGTAGGCTTATATTTACTACAGGCGTTCAAAATAATAATATTTTCTCTGAGTATCTGAGACTGATTTGTCTTTTGAAGATTGGGAGGGGGTGAGGAATCTCGTATCGGCATTGCCTGAAACAATTAAGAGATTTGTTCTCGTCTCATCTGTTGGTGTCACCAAATTCGATGAACTGCCATGGAGGTATGTATGATTATTTGAATTTTATATAATTTTAAGGTATTTATTTAATTCATGTTTAATGAAATTAGGATTTTAGTTTTGATTTTGAATAATTATAGACTTTATTTAGAGTTGATTGGAGTTAAATGAAGTTGATTTTAGATTTTCAGGGATTTTATTTGATTTATGGAAAATTGTTGAAATTTAATTAAAGAAGAAAAACACTAAATCTAATAGTTATTTGAAAGGTCAATTAATGTCAAATCAATGTATTTGATTATAAGATGTATGACTCTAATTTTTTATGTTTGAGTTTTATCCCAAAAGGGATAGTGGAGTCCACCCTAGATGGACTAGGTTAGCTAAGACCCAAGTCCTTAATTATTGTTCTTATATGTCACTAGTTAATGGGATCAAAATCATTGTTTACTAAACCTTGAACATTAATTACAATCACATCATAAAACAATCAAGAATAAGATAAAGTGCTCTAATACTCTATGGAATGATTATAATGAAACATTAAAGTCATAGGTCATATAGTGACCTATGATCTCAAATGTTTCACTATAAAAGATAAGATGCATCAAAATGAATTAAGGATATTTGAAAATGTAGGCAAACATTATCAAATGAAATTTAACCCAAATTGAAGTCAAAATTATGTATGTTTTGGAAAGTATGTATATAAACCTATATACTAATAAAAGATTTTTTTTTTCTTAAAATCATACATGATTATGATGAATGAATATTTTTCAATGGAGGGATCCTCACTGATTCCATAAAACCCTATCATGCAATGAATGGATTTAATTTGAATTATTTATGATTTTTTAAAAATCAAGACCAAATCATGATCAAGACTTTTATAAATTTATAATCTAGTTGAGATTTCTTCAAAAAAGCTTGAGAAAATTACGAGAGATCAATACTAAACCCTAGAATACCTCTGCAAAGTTTTAACTCAAAATAATATGTATATTTTTATTTAAAATTAAAATAGGGTTTTCTGAATAGTTACAATAACTAATAACAATAATACTCAAAGTAATTTTATTTTATTTTTAAAATAAAGTATATGAAAATACAAACAAAATAAGCCCAAAAACTCTGAAATGGTTTAGAAATGAAATTACTGTCTAATTTTGAAGTTCTGGACATTTTTTTTTTATTTATAGCATTTAAAATAACTGGTCAAATGGCGGCGCTGACCCAGACCCGATCCTCCACACGGCGCAACATGATTAGGCCACGCATACGACGCTGGTTAAGCGGGCCAGACTTACTTATCCAATGCGGCAGGGTTTCAAACCGTTGGATCTAATAATGCGCTTATCCAATGATTGAGATCAAACTCAAGATTGATCTCAACTTAGAAGGATCTTATGGCCAGGATCAAGCCCGCGGTTTGAACAAATGGCCTAGATCTGTCTGGATGAAGATCTGAGCATCTCGTGATTTGCACTGGAATAACGGATCGCAGATCTAACGACATCATATCCATTGATCTAAAATAAACAGATCCAACAGCTAGGGTGTCGTCTTCTTTTTCCCCGTTCAATTGCAAACCCTAAAAATATTTTTCTTCATTCTCTCAAACTTCCAAACGAAATAGATTGAAATTTTAATCATATGTACATTAGGGTCTAAGGAAAAGTAGGGAATAGTTTTCTAAGCCTTTGATGCAAAATATAAAATATTGTTTAGGAACCTAAAAAAAATCCTAGGGTTAGAGATATATTGTAATATAACAGATGGATTTGGATGGTTTAGGTTTCTCTGAATTTGTAGATTGTCCACGCTTACTTCGTTAGGAGACTTTGAGCCCTGAGAATGCTTCTAGAAAGAAATCCAGCAACTGGGACGGTCTTAGCTTCAGTTCTCCTTTCCTCTCATCGTCGGCAACTACGAAACCATAGGAAATCGATGGGGAAATGTGGATGAAACTATGGGATTTCAAAACGAAAACCTAGATCTCTCTAAGAGTGATTGGAGTAGGAGATAGGTCCCAATGATTGAATCGCATCCCATTTTCTTTATACAGCTATTTGGAGCCAAAAGGAATGGTCTGGATTGCTTAGGCAAGTCACTGTGATGGAGGACATCTATCCCAAACAGTTAGGGGGCCGGGGGAGTAGTTGTACTAACGGTAAGGGCAGATTGTCCTTCTCACATGGAGGGGGACCACTCGAGTTGGCTGAGCTATTTGGAATCAAAACCAACGCTAGGTTAGGTCAAGTTGAGTCTAGAGAAGCTTCTGGAAAGCTTTAGGATAGCTAGATAGGTCTGGTTTAGGCTGGGTGAGTGAATTTGAATGGGTTTGACCATGAAAGCTCTCTTGAGCTCTTGTTGATTGTTTGAATAGTCAGCAAGGGTCAAAGCAACTGGGCTGGAGTCTAGGTGTGGTATAGAGTCATTTGGATTGAAGCATGGGTCTAGCTTTAAGCGGGGAGGTTGGGTTCCATATGTTTGGTCATGGGAATAATTTTAAAGCTTAAGTTGACTGGTTTGACCAGTCAACCTTAAGCAATGTTGATAGGAAAGAGAGCAGGTGATGTTTAGGTGTAGATTTGATGGAGTATGAGAGGTTAGGGAGTGTGGATTTAATGTATAAGAAAACGAGTCCCTGTGTGATATGGTTTGATCGTGCTTGGGGAGTTGACTGAGTCAACCCGTGATGGTTTGACTCAAAGCATGTTTGGGAAGTATTTTAGCTATATTTCAAAGTTGTTTTGATATGATAAAATGGTTGATTGAGTCACATGCAAGAATTGGATCAAAGTAGATTGGATTTTACCAGGTTTAGGTCCAGTTGAACATGTCAATTGGTGACTGGACCAAGGTGATCAACTGCACTCAACTCACTAGGAGAATGATTCAAGAGATTTTGGGTGAAGTTTAGGAACAAGTTAGAGACCAACTGAAGATGATCAAAGTGTATATAATCAATTGAGCTAGCTTGAGTAAATCAAGCTGACCATTACATGCTTCAGAAATCTAGTGATATATAAATTGTTATATGAGACTTTAATGAAATGATTTAGATATTGACTGAAATCTAAGGATCAGTATACTACACTAGGTAGCAGGTTGTGGTTCTTAATGAAGTGAACTTGGATCTTGATTGAGGTCAGGGTATGGATGTTTTGTAAATTTTTGAAGTTTTGGGCATTAAAATTAATCTTTTAATCCAATGATTGGCTGCCACCGTAAATTCCAATCTTTGGCAATAATTGGGACGAACTGTGTTGTGGCACCACGTCGCATACCATGTGTTGCACTCTGGACGGTTTACTTAACCATGTTGGATCCATCGATCGGGATTACGTGAAATCAGCCAGTTAAAAAATGAACTGAAAATTTAAATGCCCATAAGTCACAAAAAATGCAATTAACATAGAGTGTGGCACCTTAATGTTTTTAAAATTAGCCATTTAAAATCCAACTAAATTAAAATGTTAAGCCTCAATATAGTTGGATCACTTGAAATGAGCTAATTTGTTGTTTATTATATGAATTGGCTCTTACTAGATGAAGCCTTTCACAAAACCTGGATTTTCCTTCTAGGTTCGTCCGTACGAAGTTGGGTTCGTCCCGGACGAACAGTTGAAAGCCTTTAGACAGAGAGCTTCGTCCAGGGACGAAATTGATCATCGTTCGTACGATGACAACCTGAGGAGATCATCCATGTATGAAGAACAAATTTCGTTTGTACGAACTTTGTTTATGAACAACCCGAGGTGATTGTGACACCTCTTAGCTAACAAACATAGAGAGGTTATAGTTAGGTCGACAATTTCTTAGAAAATCTTTTGTATTGCATTGCATACAACTTCGTGGGTGGGTTGGTCGTTAGTTAGGATATTTCTAGCTTTGTGTTTGGTTGTTTGTTTTCTTTGATGTATTACAGTATCATCAAAATGTTATCTTTTGTAGGTGTTCATATGTACAACCATTGTTTTTTTGCTTTTACATAAGTTATACAACAAATATTTAAATTAATTAAATAAATTAATATTTGTGATGTGATATTTCACTTAGTATACTTTTATAGCACTCTATGTTATGCTATGCATTATGAAGACTCCATTTAGTATTAATTTTCTTTTTCTATAATTTGGGAGAGTTTTATATATATAACAATAAGGAGCAAACAATTGTTTTCTTGGTATTCAATTTGAACTTCATCTAATAATTTTCTTTCCAATACCCAACGAACATATATATATATATATATGTATAGTACTTTAATATGTTATCCTGGCTTTGCTATTGATACTTAGGATTAAATTTTTTTCATCAGTTTTCATAAATTAGAAAATAGCTTAAATAGTGATTAAAAATATTTACTTATAAATTAAGGTAGGGATGTCAAAACGAGTGAATAAGTCGGATTCGGACCAAACCGTAATTAGATCAACATGAACTCGACCGAATTAAAAAACGGGTAAAAAATGCGGACCCGTACCCAACCCGCAAGCAACCCGAATGACCCGAACATCATAAAACATTTTGATTTTTTTTATAAAATATTTTTACTAATAGGTTTTAGATTAATTAATAAAAATAAAACAATCATAACAATAAATTTAAAATTTTAAGAAAAGAAAAATTAAACGGGTCAAAATTGGGTTGGTGGGTCAACCCGATTTCGACCTGTTTAAGAAACGGGTCAGAATTTTAAACATGAATACAACCCATTTGAAACTTTTGGGTCGGTTTATGGTCGAGTTGTCAAGTTGGGTCATTTTTTAACGCCCCTAAATTAAGGCTCTCTTAAGCCACTCCTTTTAAGTAAAATCTACTGCATGCAATCAAAACTCTCCCAACCATTGGTGCACTTTCAACATTGTTGATTTAATTAAGTGGCTCAGGTTATATATAATTTGGTTGTCTAATTTAATTCTTTTTAAGGCAATTATGTATACGACTAGAGATTGTAAGTCTTTCATTTTCCCAAATTGACCTTTTAAAATTTATCTTTTTAGAAAATTTAAGTATTCCGTCAGGGGCAAACA